GTAAAATAAATTAATAGCTCAAAACACGAGTCCAGCTCTTCACACTGATATAATACTATATTAAAACTACTTGCACTACTTGCTTCTCCTCTCCTTTTCCCTTACTTTATTTCTTTCCATGCTTTTTCCATTCCATTATATTTTTATTTTCTCGTCTACTACTACACTAGAAGAAAGAAACCATTTATAGCCTCAACAAAAATTTAGGTTTGGTACTTTTAGGGTAAAACGCACAAATTCTGCATTGAGATGTTTTATGCAATTCACAATCCAGTTGAATGATATCCAGTCCATTGCATTAATAATTATACAGCTTCTCATTAATCCCATATAGCTAACTGGCCAATTATTTTCTTAATTGGACAGGTCTTTTCGATATGGGATTAATTAGGCAGCTATATAATTAATAGGTAATGGGATTTCATGCTCCCCCATCAAGAAATAATTAGAATCGAAAAATTCCTCTGACTGCCAAATTGGAAGTCCTCGGAATTTTCCTCGTCCAATTATTTCTTAATTGGACAGCATGAAGTCCTATTACATATACCAATTCATGGTTCTGGATTTCCCAAAATTTAAAATCTCTTCAAAGGTAGCATGAATCAAAGATCTATTCAACCAACGTCCAGTCCGATATATTTTTGTATATTATTTTAACAGTGGGAACTCTCCTGATGGCGTTCAACATTTCTGAAGGAAAATGGCCACCTTATGCCTCAATGTTTAGACTTGAGCTCTACCAGAACACTGCTGCTGCTCAACAAAACAGCAAACAACAGGAATCATTCGCAGTCAAGGTCATCTACAATGACCAAGAACGCAAGCTGCCATTTTGTGATGCTTCTCCTTGTAGTATGGCACAGTTTGAGAAGTATGTCAACAGTATTATCCCCAAGGATCCTGAGACAGAGTGTAAAGTGAGCGACCCTGAGGTACTCCGACATCCCTTGAAACTCCTCCGTCACATGATGTATGAGTGGATGTGATCATGTGATCTGTCCAAGGTAACCATGTGATAGATTAGTGATCAACAGTATGTCAATGCTGCTGCTTTTATAGCAGTGATCATGTGATCAAGTTTAAATTGTCAATGTTAAAGATGTAGATTTTTTGTGCTAAAGCTGATAAGATAAAAATGCTTAGCTGCTGCTTATAATTGGTTAATATTTTTCTGACCTTCAATATAACAGAGATGAATAGGTTATGTGGAAATCATTTAAAAAACCGACCTTTGTTAAGTGCCCATCTATGATTGGTTAAAAGCTTCTACATGATTTATGATTGGTTAAAAAACTTTTACAAGGTTTATGATTGGTTAGAGGCTTTTACAAGGTTTATGATTGGTTAAAAGTTTCAAGGTTTGTGATTGGTTAGAAGGTTATACGAGGTTTGTGATTGGCAAAAAAGCCTTTGCAAGGTCCATGATTGGTTCAGATGAATTCAAAAGCAGATTAAACATATGTATTTCAACCCAAAAGAAACACACATGATAAACAGCTTACAATACTTCATAAAGCTACTTTTTAAGCTGCTTATAATAATTAATGCTAAGCTTCTGGAATAAATAAATCGCATCACGTGATCAATTCGTATGACGTATTCACTAATCACAGAATAATAAAGACAGTGTAGACACTAAACTTGTAGTTTAAAATCTAAGATTAGACCAGATAAAGGAATGATTTTTCGTTAATGGTAGTACAGAGGCTACTAAAATTCTCATTAAAAAGTCCAACTTTTTCTTTTAGATTTTAAATCTATAAAAATAAATTTGTAATACGCAATACGCAATACGAAAAAACACACGCCATTTTTCAATAAAGTTTATTAAATTCAATAAAGAATACATGGCTTGTCTTTCAATAAACACGAAACAAATTTTTCCAAAATTAAGTATGTTACCATTGCTCAGCTCAGCAAGTGTTGGCTATTTTGTGGTACAGTCTAAAACACTGAAGAAAATAACTTCTTTGAATACTACGCCTATTAGAGAAAAAACTTGTTTAAAAGCAACTTGAACGGTGAAGAAATTAAAAATATACAGAAAGTGAGAGAGAACTTATCTGTCGATCATTGCGTCTGTGAAAACTTCTTCCAAGAATTTTTATTTATGAGGTCGTTTTTTTTTCGTGCGGCCGCCATGTTGAATGATGGTCTGCACCGACCTCAGAATTAGAATTTTGCGCAAAACAGAATTTTTTTCAAATCGAGGTTTACGACGTAACAAAAATTGAATTCTTCCTTATTGTCTGTTTTCTGACTCGTCTCCATGTCGAGGCGGACTTATTAGTGACGTCATACCCATGATGCCTTTCATGTTTAGTTTGCTTGCCTATTGCCTGGTATTCGCTACCTTTGCTTCAAGGTGAGCTTTAAAAGTATCTAAAATAATTTTCAGTTTGTTTGAAAGAAATCATGAGTACGATGCACAAGCTTTACAACCATCCATTTTTTTACAAAGAACGATGCTTTTTAGTCCTAGGAAAAGCCAGTTTTTTGGCATCTTTTCGTATTTTGTCGTTAAACGTCATTTGTAACAATATTATATTTAACATTCTAAAGCTCCTTTCACAACCATCGATATCAAACAGAGTTTTATAAATCAACCCTATGACGTCATCTACGTCATGTCAGGTCCATTTTGATTGGCTGGGATAATTTTAGTGTTTTAGATCAAAGAAGGTATCGTCGACTGTCTCGATTTCTTCCTTGCGGTGTGGTTTGGCGGGAACAGTGCTGGCTGATCGCTCTGATGTTGAGCCAGAGTCATCTTCATCTTCATCCTCGTCTTCCTCCTCTTCTTGTGTTTTGTCATGTTTCTGTTTCTTGAACGTAGCTTTGACTGCTTTCCTGACGTTATTCTTGATCTCTTTGATAGCATCTTCAGAACTTTGTTCATCTGATCCTGATGCGACTCCTGAAATAATTGTCATCACAAAATATTAATTCTCATTGTTATATAATTTAAAGAGATCATTCCAACCTACTGTTAAAAATTGTAGTTAGTCACGTGACGCAAAAATATTTTTGAGGTCACATGACCTGTAGTGATGTTTTGAGTAAACTAGCTTGTGGTTAGTCACGTGATCCAAGATAACTTGGCCATCGGTCACATGACCTGGAGTGATGCATTGTGGCTAGTCACGTGATCCAAGATAACTTGGCTATGGGTCACATGACCTGGAGTGATGTATTGTGGCTAGTCACGTGATCCAAGATAACTTTGTTATGGGTCACATGACCTGAAGTGATGTATTGTGGCTAGTCACGACACAAAATAACTTGGTTATGGGTCACATGACATGTAGCAATGTTTTGAAAAAACTCGATTGTGGTTAGACACATGACTCAAGATTAATATTACAATGGTCACATGACCTGAAGTGGTGTTTTGAGAAAAATAGATTGTGGCTGAGATACCTGAAACGTCTTCATCATCTTCCTCATCCTCATCCTCTTGTTTTGCTTTAATTTTGTGTGATTTTTTAGAGACTCTAGCATGATGATAATGACCCTTCTTCTCCATATCTTCTTCTTCTTCTTCCTCTGGTGCTTCTACAAACAAAATAACAAATACCCGTTTATATCGTATTAACCATGTATTAAGATCCATGTCCCCCGCCTGGCTGTGAATAAAGAGGGACGCGTACTACTCGAGGAATCTTTATAAACCATAGCCAGACTTTCGTATACCGATGTGTTGGTCTATTTACATGGGGAAATTCTTACAATTCTGTGAAAAGCTTGTCAAACTCACTTGATTTACATCTCATAAAAGTACCTCTACACTTTTAGGAATGGCGCTGTAGTGGATGTTTCATTTTATTGACTTGGCTATGAATACAGCTCGTTGCATTCTTACAATCCCTTTCATCCACTACTTACTCAATTTCATCTTGCAGACAGAGTAGAACTTATTATCACAGTGGAATGGTCTCCATTCTCCGGTCCTGGATGCAGCCACACAGTTCTGCTTTGAGTTCAAGTACTCATCCTGCTCATAGTAGCTCTCGTCACCAGCCCAGGATTTGAAAGTCATTGAGGTGCCGTCACTCCATTCGAAGTTGCTCTGGTTCTTACGATCGTTCAGCCCAATCCAGGTGAATCTGTAGGAACGAAATAAATTGAATTTATCAAGTTTGAATTGCCATTGGGTAAAGTGCGCTCCAACCCAAGGGCGGAAAGGTGGGAATGAATTGGTTAGCTCGCCACCCCCTTTTGCATTTGGAAGATAACAAGTATAAAGGATAAGGTAAAACCTAAAAAAGGTCAAATGCACATGCTGTATAGGAAGTTATGCAAGCCCAACATACCCGCAAAGTCTTAGTTCGTTATTAATGAACATGTTTTCTCCAGGACTGCCAATACTCAGCAGATCAGCTCCATAAGAGGCGCATTTGTCACGTGCCTGTTGCCATGACAGGAATTCAGCGGTTGTCTTGAGGCAGTAGACTTCATCATTAGCTTCCATTCGGCGCCAGTAGGTTGGGCAGTCTGTTGAAAGGAATGGGTTGAACCCTTAAACAACCTCTGATCTGATCTAATTCAGGGCACGGGTAACTCAGGTTAAACCCTTAATTAACCTCTTGGCTGACTATAAGTCAGGGAACGGCTGACTCACTGATCAAACCCTGGAACAACCTCTAGGCTGATATAGATCGGTTAACTCCCAGATAGAATTGGAATTTAGCATGTTAGGTGTAGCGGAGGGATGAAAGCTGTAGAACCCGGAGAACTACGCCCCTCGAATCATGGGAGAGACCCATCAAACTCTACTGACATGTGATGCTGGGACCAGGAATCAAACCCAATTTAGACCCAGGAGAAAAACTCTTGAATCAAGGGAGAGACCTAACAAACTCTACTGGCATGTGATATCGAGTCCACGAATCGATCCCTCGTCTCTGACTTCTGGGGTCTTGAGACCCCAGAAGTGAGAGACGAGTATGCTACCATTACCCCATCCTTGATTTCCCAAAATCGATACTTAAAAATATATGGTTACAAATAGTATTTTCTTACCTACAGTAGTGTAACGTTTGTTTTCCTTTTTGTTTGGGTTGTCCATTGAGAATACCTTGTAATAATTATTTTCATAGAAATCAGAAGCCTCTAATAACATCTTGGTTGAAGTGGCGTTCTTCTCATTATTCTGGTGCATGATTCTTACAGCTTCAACTACAACCTTAAAAGTCAAAAATAATTCCAATTTTAATGTGACGTTTTGACATTGATTCCAGGTCTCCGCTGAGGACGTTCGTTAGGATGCAGTTACCCTTCAAAATGGCTTCCGTCTTTTTGTGTGAGAATAAAGTTTTCACAAACTTAATATCAGTTCTCGGAGGAAATTTGTTTGGGCATGGTTACTTTTCAAAATGGCTTCCGCTCTTATGAGTGAGAAGCCTCGGAGGAAATTTACTTGGGTGTGGTTACTTTTCAAAACGACTTCTGTTCTTTGTTTGTTTTCTCTATGTTAGAAATATTTCATTACCGGTTGTTCGAACTCGATGCCAATGTAATCCATACCAGGGAAGCGCTCATACCATCCTTCAGGCAACCAGTAAGTCTTCTCGTCACCATCAAAAGCGTTGCCGGCCAAGTATCCTGGGTAGCTTGTACTGGCGTAGGCCTTTGCTGGGTTGACTTTGATTGGCTTCTTGGCATGTTTGTCAGAGAAGAACTCTATCTCTTTGACGATCCATGAGCGAGGGAGAATGGCATAGTTCACTATGCGCCAGAATCTGTGACCTAAAGTAAGACACCGAACAAATTATGTACGTGTCAATTCAATGAGAACTACTACGGATCTAAATGCTCATTCTCTGTACGAAGTAATGGGTTTAGGAAAGGCGAATATAAAGGCCACTTGCAGTAACAGGTCACGTGACCCCTCTTGAAGTCGATCAGTTGTGTCAAACTGAACACCAGAAATGAAAAAAAGCACCTTGATATTGGCAAGGAGGTGAAGTTTCAGTTCATAATATTGACTTAAGGACAAATGGCATTTAATGAATGTAAAACGTGTAAAATTGAATATTTTATAAAACATGGTTGATTGTCTTACCAACGCTGACAGAGGAGTCGCACCACGAGCAAGAGCGTTTGCAGTAGTTGTACATAAAGTGATGGTTCTCTTCGCAGAAACAAGGGTTATTTGCCTTAAGACAGAAGTTATTGGCTCTTGTGTCATCCAAACAGGCACCTGGAACATTAACAAAACGTTTTTTAACATTTTGGGCACTTCATGATTTGGGCACTTCATGATTTGGGTACTTCAGGATATGGGTACTTCAGGATTTGGGTACTTCAGGATTTATGTACTTCAGGATTTGGGTACTTCAGGATTTGGACTTCGCTGAAGACACGTGTTCTTCGCAGTATTCTTACCTTTTGTCTGTTTTTGGGCTGCAAAAGAAATCAAAGGAGCAAGATTAGTCTGGAGACTTCCTAAAATGCAACATGACGTCTCTTCAATTGTAGGTTATTTATATACTTACGTTTTCCCTTGAGAAGATCTGAAACGGGAACGAATACAAACGTATGTGAGTTGTTTTTTGAAGGAACAGTTAGAATAATTAATTGTGATGTTATTTGACAATTATTAGAAAATTCTTTACCAATCCTGAATTGTTGCGAGATTTGCATAAGAAGGTATACCATCATGGACTATCAAGGACTGGATTGTTTTGAAATTTCTCTACATTTACATTAAAAACACAATTATTTCTCATAAACGCTTAAGAAGAGTGAAATGTAAATGCTCGTAAAAATAAAAAACTTTCGGATGCCTCGGTTATTTCAATTTTTTGGGGGGAGAAGAGGGTAGGAATGAGATAACGTACCTGAGAATGCCACGGTTGATGTAGCTGCTTTAGCAACTGAAGAAAATAACCAATGATAGTATTATTAGTAATTGATTATTATTGGGATTTCTTGATTGACGTGGGAATATAATCACATATAGACGTGACAGCTATGTACATCAAAACTTGAAGAGAGAATCTCTTGTTAACTGTAAACCAACTAGGCCGCCATGAAGAACGTGCGACAACATGGTACTAAATCTCTCTTAAGGATGATTGCGACTAAATATATTTTCTTAAACTTTACGTAGACATTGTCACTGGCACATAGATGAATGTGTTCATACCTGCAGCAGCGAGAGTGGTAGTGGCATACGCTGGTGCTGGTGCTGGGGCAGGAGAAGGAGCAGCAGCATAGTATGCTGTAGATGGAGCTGGTGCAGGAGCCGGTGCAGGGGGATTGACGTAAAAGGAAGAGGAATATGATGAGCTCTGGGAATAAGGTGATGGGAAGTCGGACCTGGCGCTGCTTGCTGCTGGTGCAGGTGCTGGAGATGGTGCTGCTGGGGCTGGGGCTGGTGCTTGTGCAGGAGCAGGGTAATGATAGGCAGCAGCGGGGGCTGGTGATGGTGCTGCAACAGGTGCAGGTGATGCTGCCGGTGCAGGAGATACAGCTGGTGCTGGAGCAGGAGCTGGTGCTGCAGGAGCTGGTGCTGCAGGTGCAGGAGCCGGTGCCGCTGGAGCTGGTGCAGGTGCTGCCGGGGCTGGGGCTGCTGGTGATGATGACACAGCTGCTCGTTGAGATGCAGTGTATGTATTCGATGAAGGAGCAGAGTAAGCTGTCGAGGAAGCGTAGGCGGAAAAAAATAAGACGAGAAGAAATCTTTTTAAATTGATATGATGTTCAAAGAAACACATTTCCAAGATGGCGTCTATTTCCAATTCGTCCCCTAAACAGTCCCATATGCACTGCAATGCCAACTCGGCCCAGTTTTTTCCTCGACCTCAGAATGGCTAATAAGGAAACAAGTGGTCTTATCGTCTAACAAGATCAATTACAAAGCTTATTCATCCAGTTGTGTCTTTATAGCCTACTGACTCGCAAGCGATCAATCCACCACTTGACCTACCTGCTGTATTATAGTTATTAGTAGCAGCAGCAGCGGGTAGCGTGTTTTTTGTTGCTGCAGGATATTGTTGTTGTTGATAACCCGAATATGCTGTAAAAGAACAAAGACAAGAACTAACGATCAGTACAAATTGAAATACCGAGTCATAGATTCATGACCTTCAAATTTTAGAGATACCCTTAAACAACCTCTAAGCTCATCAAAGTCAGGGCACGGCTACCCTCAAACATCCTCTGGGTTGATTAAAGTCAGGGCACCGCTTACTCAAAGATTGAACCCTTAAACATCCTCTGGGTTGGTCAAAGTCAAGGCACGGGTAACTCACAGATCGAACCTTGAAAAAAATTCTGGGGTGATCAAAGTCGGAATGTTTTGGAGATCGTAACATCGTTTAAACCACGTGCAATCTAGGAACCAATTAGTGAATTGGTTCGCGCGGAATGCTATTTGTCTTGTCGAGTTTTGCAAACTTATCTTACCTGGTTGAGCTATGGCGTCTCTTTTTTCATCGTGAGCTTTAACATAGAAAATAGAATATTACAAAAATTAGTCACCTAAGAAAACGATTGTAAAAAAATATCGAAGACTTTAGTCGACTGTTAGTCTCGTTTGAGTCAGTACTGAGAATCATTTTCATTTCCTAATGTCAGCTTTTAACGTTACCACATTAGCGCTAGTTTTGGTTAGTTTCTTAATTAAACATTTCTGAATATTTCTTTCGCCATTTTTCATCTTGATCAATTTACATTCCTAAGTCTTCTTGTTTTTTTATGAACTTTTTCAGACATCATTTATGACGAGAATTTTCTTTTTTTAAGTTAAAGTATTTAATAGAACTTAACATGTCAATTTTTTGAGTTTAACTGTTTGTTTTTTTTTTGGGTGTCTTTTAAAAATTTAGCTACAAAACAGGCCTCTTAACTTGTTTTCGTTCACGTAATTATGTTTTGCTAATAATACCGCTCCATAAAATAACTCCAAATGCCTTCATCTTTTTATAAAACCAAATTTTGCCTTTTAAAAATCTTTAATTACGTCTTTTTACCGTTGAATTTCTCTATAAAAGTCACATGTTTGACCAGGAAAACCAGTTCAAAACATCCTGTTAGCTCCGCCATTTTGTTTTGCACTGGTGCCTGCCACAACACAGAAAAATTCAACAACTGAAAATCAATATTTTCAGGCTATCTTTTATCCGTTTTCAAATCTCCTGCCTTAAAATCTCAGTTGATTTATTCGTAAAAAGAATTTCATAGTCGAGAATCGGCTAAGAACTTAGCGAAGACAAAAAAAGAAAAGGAAAATTTTGACTAAAGCAAAGTCGTAAGAATACATTAATCTTTGATGGCGGTCGAGCAAGCAGTGGTATTAGCTCATATACTGATTTTAAGGCCCCAATTTCGCCCATCGAATAACGGAATCACTTACTTTCATCTATCCATTGAGCGTGCGATTTGTGCGATTTATGACTATGCTGCTTCTTCTTCGCATGGCCTAGCAGAGAACGTTACCACAATAAAATTTTCCCATTCTTAACAATGAAAAATAACAAATAAATCAAAGTTCGCGACTATCCCTCGAGCAGGACATTTTCCTCTCTCCGAGGCGTAGCAAGATAATTGAATTAATTGAAAAATGTCATTTTGAAGAATAGCCCAATTCTATTCCAATTTCAAGTAATTTTTAACTGATTCAGTAAGAGTGATAGAGAAAGCTTCAACAATGGGAAAAATTGTGAACTTTCAAAAAAAAATTACTTTTGATGATATCTGAAATTTCTATGAGGAAGCCGTATAGAATATTTTACTGTTACTTTGGTTAGCATTTGATTAGTTAGAGCATTAATTGTAGCATTATTTTTAACGTAATGTCGTTGGAAAGAGTTGTCAGTTTTAAGTGTGTCGAGTAAGATGAAACTTGAAAATGAAAAGATTTATTGGGAGTGAAGTCCTTCGACTTTTTCCCCGGTATTTTAAGCATTTTGGCTCCCTCCAAAACATCCAAACCACACTTACCTTTAGCGTGTATACAAAGACACAAAGCTAACAGTAAAAATACGGCTTTCCACATTTTGAATTTTGTAGTATAAGACCGCGTCTTGGTCTCTTGTTCTCTAGAGAATCGCGCGGAGCCCGTTGATTGCGAACAAAGGCTGAGACGGACTAATGAATAAGTAATAACCGTAAGAACACAATGACATGTACCTGAGTGAATCAATAAACAAACGGTCTTATTGGGATTGAGAGGTCATTGGCAATTAATCCCCTGCGTGGAGTAGCCTGGATCTGGGAGTTCTCGTTATGTATGTTACTGAACTTGGACATGATCTAACGATGAATGAGCCCAAACAACATACTACAAGAATGAAGAAACCGCTATATCAGCGCGCTCTTGACGCTCACACAATCTTGATTTTCTAATATAGGCAGTATGAAAGATTATAAAAAAGGAGAGGAAATGTAAGAGACATGCCTGCGAACAATAGCATCTTTACTCCAGTTTGCGTACCTTTGTAGCGAAACTAAAGTCTTGCGTCAATTATAAAACACTTATTAAGCAGCTCTGCTCCCCCTAACTACCATACTAGCTTCATTCTTCAACTTTGATCATTCTTTCCTCGACAGTTTTCACTTCTTATCATCATTTTAAAATTTCAACCATCTTGTGTTTCAGATTTAGTATCTCCTTTTATTTTATTTCCGTCCGAATTTTATTTCATTTCCAAAGCCCATCAAGCTATGGAGAGTTCTCTTTTGATCAAGTCACTTATTTGCAGAAAATAGGTGCTTCAAAGCAAAGGCAACCGACATCAAACTCCACAAGCAAGTTTCATTTTCAGGTCAAAGTTAATGACTTAAATGTTGGGAGGTAGTATTTGCAGGATATATGGCTAGATATGCAGTATATTTTGCTATTCTACTCTAGAAATATAAGATTTGAAGCCCAATCCAATCCAATCCACGCCACCCCTCTCCGTCCATTTACGTGTTATTACCAGGGTTCATGAGCACCAGTTGTTTTAGTAAAACGTACGATGACATCCAACTGGTGACAGCAAGAGTGTCAGGTGACTAGGCACCAGTCCTCTGCTAACGTTGCCATGGAGAACATAGTCATGTGAAGGAAACACGAGCATGCGTACTAGTTGTTAGGCTCAAAAGTTTCTTTCTGACAAATGAATGAGGAAAGTCTAGACGATGAAAGCATGCCATTTCTTCTTATTTTTCTTTCGTATCTTTCCAGCTTGCTAGATACGTAGAGTTCCAGAATTACATCTGTGAACTGAAAAAGCTTTATTTTAATTAAGCGCCTTGGATTCCATCTTGCTCTAACTAAAACTGACATATTGAGTGCACTGACCAGTTTTTGTCCTTACATTCCCCAAACTTAACTCCACGCATGTTCTGCTGAAGACGGATTTTTCATTTGTTGGTCGTTCTGCGAGGTACTGCAGGTACCTGTCTCTGTTGAACTATATCAAGTAAACTCTCATAAAGAAACTATTCCTTCCTTGTTTTATTTGTATACTTAAAATATTACAGTTGATTCATCAACTTGGTGAGATCCAGCAATACAGATGAAAAAAGGATAATCCAGGAATTTTTCACCTTTTCATCAGATCTGGAGGAGGAAAAAACTCGAAAGATTTGCTAATTGAAGCACATTAATAAACAATGCTTTTGGGCAGGTTACCCGCTTTCTCAATATACCTCCACTGCCCCTACAGAATACACGATCTTTTCATCCTAAAATAATAAGCCTATCGATGGGAGTCCAAGAACACAGTACCATATATTTTCTTGTTTGTCTCCCGTTACTCGTGCATTCTCTAAAGCAAGGTACGTAGTATATTGAGGTTTGTTTATCTTAACAATTTTTGTTTATAGTTCATTTTGGCAGGTTTCTATGAAGCCTTTGATAATATTATTTCTACTTTGTTGTGATCGAGTTTCGTTGACCGAATTTTAATGTTAAGAAAGCTTGAGGAAGGTGTGAGTAAAGAGTACTCAAGAACACTGATGATATATATTTGCTTTACTGTTTCGGGTGAATTGTTAGAATGGCCCTGAAGTATTTGACTATTGACCCCTCACATACCTAGGGAGATATTTGAAAATGTTACGGGATAAAGTTTTAAAAAAAACAACAGAAAGACCTTGACAATGAAATTCGAAATCTTAATTTCGTGCTAAACTTTCCAACCTTTGTATTAAACGTTTTAACAGTATTTCTCCCCTTTATTATATTTATAATGGCTGACTCCATTAACAAATAGAGGCTGTTAAAGCCCTGGACGCATTTCAAAAGGATTGTCTCGATGCACACAACACCTATCGGGCCCAACATGGAGTCCCACCGCTAGTCTGGTCAGAGGAACTTGCTCAGCATGCTCAAAACTGGGCTGACCAGCTGGCATCACGTGACGAAGTAAAACACGACTTGGTGGCCATGAACAAACACGATGAAGGTAAACAAGGCTACGGGAAGAGAAAACTAGCTAAAAACTAGTGTGAGCTGCGTCGGTGTTTTTAATGAAACAGTTATGATAAAAGGGTAAATTATACACCGTGAAAAGATGAAAAAACTTAGAAGGCTACGGTTAACTACGGCATACCTGATAAATTGGCTTGGGTAATGGGTTAGTGTGCTGCCTGCCTAGCAAGACCCACAGTTTGATCCTCGGTGACCTCACGCTTGTTTTTAAGGTGCAATTGCGGCTTGGGTGGTCAGTGTGCTTTGCTAAGCGAGGTCCACAGTTTGATTGTTAGTGACCTCACACACTTGTTTTAAGAAGCAAGTGTGATTTGGTTGGTTAGCCTTCTGCCTGCGCGCTAAGGAAGAGATCCATAGTTTGATCCTCAATGACCTCAAACACTTGTTTTAAGGAACACGGGTGGTTTGGTTGGTTAGTGTGCTGCCTGCTAAGGAAGAGGGCCACATTTTGATCAATGACCTCACACACTTGTTTCAAGGAGCAAGTGTGGCTTGGTTAGTTTGTGTGCTGGGTGCTAAAGAAGAGGGCCACATTTTGATCCTCAGTGACATCACACAATTGTTTCAAAGAGCAAGTGTGGCTTGGTTGCTTAGTGTGCTGCGTGCTGCGTGCTATAGGGCCATAGTTTGATCCTCTTTCCTTACACATTTGTTTTAAGGAGTATGGCTTGGTTAGTTAGTGTGCTGCTTGTCCTTGTTAAGCAAGGTTCATACTTTGATCCTCAATGACCTCACACACCTATTTTAATGAGCGAGTGTGGCTTGAATGGCAAGTATCATTGTAATTGTAATGATTCTGTAACGCATAGCTAAGCTTGAGGGTTCATATTGCACGGACTTATTTTAAAACAAAAATAAAAGTTATGATCAGGTTTACGATTTATTAAATTCTTTTTAAAAAATTTTCTAGGTGAAAACCTTGCTTTCTTTCACCCTGCTGTCCCCAAATGCCAAGGCTCCATGGAAGGAAACTGTGTTCTCTGCCGCGAGATGATAAAACGATGGTACGACGAAGTTAAGAACTACGACTATGACAATGGTCACAGTAAGAACCCTGACGGAATCACCAAACACTTCACTCAGATTATCTGGGCCAACACGTCCGAGGTGGGGATTGGTACCTCTGTTAGTAAGAAATATGGCTTCATCACGGTGGCGCGCTACAGGCCAGGAGGAAACAGGGGAGGAACGAATGCCTTTGTGGTCAATGTTCCCCCGGAAGGAGGTAAGATAATTGTCAGTGTTTTACCTGAAACATGCAGACCAACTTTTCGTAATGGGGATGATAGTAGTGGTGGTGATTATGATAAAACTGATGGTTATGATGCTGCTAATAATAGTAATGGTACTTGTGTTGTCATTGTTGGCGATGTTGATGCATTATGATGCAGGATAATGAAGATGATGTTCTTATTGCTGTTGTTCATGATGGCAATAATGACAATGCTGGTGGTGGTAACAGTTATGATGATGATCACTTCTTGACTATATGATTTTCCAGGTCCTTTGCCATCACTTTCCAATTATTCGCCGAAAGTGAAACCAAAGTCTACCCCTTCTACTACACCCACGGGTAATGGCATCCCTGTCACCAGTCCCGACTCAAGTAAACCACCTCAAGGAACCCAAGGAAGTTCAGTTATTAAAACGCTGACTGATACAAATGCTGTGTCCAATAAAAAAGAGGTGCCTAACACACTAACAGGATCACTGGATGGATCAGCCATTGAAAAGATCCAAACCAATCCCATGGGATACGGGATGAATGATGAAGTCGAAAACAAAGCTCCAAAAAAGTCGGCGGCCAACTTGTTATCTATGATTGTGGATTTAGCGAACAAAACAAAACCAGCAAACAACGACAACATTTTAAACAAAGGGGCAACAGAAGGGAATCAAAACCAAGATGGACCACAAACACTTAACTCGGCAGGAAAACCTGGACAAAATGGCCAGGAAGGGAGCAGCTTAGAGACTATTAAAAAGGACTTCAGCTATGAGAATGCAGACAGTATGTACAGCGTTAGCAATCATGATAGTGTTGAAGGTAATGGCGGGAAGCATGGAATAGATTCTTCAAAGACCATTGGTATTGCGGGCTCGCTTGGTAATGGTGACCATGGCAACGTTGCGGGCATAACTAAAGCACAGCAACCCCACGACAATTATCAAGGTCAAGAGACAAATTCACCAGTTCCAAAAAATGGACAAGTTGATGACAATAAGGAAAAGAGTAGCAGCGAAGGTAGAACAGAGGGGAATAAAAGTAACATGAATGATAACACTCCGATAAACAAAGAACAGAATGATAGACTAAATATCCACACAGATACCGGGCTGATGGCCGGCGATAATGATATCCAGAAGGACCTCAAGAGTAAGGGCCTTGTGCGCACGGTTAAGGGACCTGATGGTACGAATGCTCAAGTGTTCCTTACCAAGAATGGTGCCCATGCTGGACTGGTGTTCAGGGACCATATATCAAGAGGTAATCCAATAAGAATTATGTAAGACCGTCATGAGGAAGTGATCCCTGACTAAACGCACCAGGGCCCTGTTGTACTACGGGTGGATAGCGCTTTCCGACGGATAAATCCTTATCCAGTGGATAAGTCGATGCTGGTATCCAATGAATTTATCCACTGGATCCACCCGTAGTACAACCGGGCCCAAAACTTTACAATGTCTATGATCGTTGCATCTGTGGCATGCTTTTCGTTCATTTCCCTAGCGCCTTACTTTCTCTTTCTTTCTACTTCCTCTCCTCTCCCCTTAAATATTGTCCTTTCTCTCTCTCTCTTCTAACCTTTTTCTTTTCTTCTCTCTCTTCTTTATTTTTTATTTTTCTAATCCTTTTCTCTCTTTTTATCATCTTTCTTCTGATTTTCTTTCCTTCCTTTTCTTCTTTCCTTCCTTCCTTCCTTCCTTCCTTCCTTCCTTCCTTCCTTCCTTCCTTCCTTCCTTCCTTCCTTCCTTCCTTCCTTCCTTCCTTTCTTCCTTTCTTTATTCCCTTGCCATTCCCCTTTTCGGCCTCTTTCTCCCATGCACCTATCCGGTATCCTCCCTCCTCCATTCATTACTTCATCGCATTTCATTCACAGATCAACGTCATTAAATAAATTCATTTATTTCGTTTTCTTTACACAGTTTCTCAAGAACTCAAACAGCGTGAGTTTGTCAAAAATCGAGTCATCAACGTCCTGTAGAGTTTCACTTCAAATAAACTAGAAAAAAATCTACAAGACTAACCTCAAGGACTGGTATAAGCTTCTAGAAACCGCTAATAGCTTAAACAAGAGAGTCTGTAGATTACAGCTTGCAAGATCATGATTAAGGAGAATCAACTGTTGCATGCTTGAACAATTTCCTTTGCGATCTCTGACCTAGAACTAGAGCTACGCCAAGAAGACGACGTGCAATGCTACTAAGAGAAGTGAAAGGTTTTACGATAATGATTTTGGGTATTTTAAGGAACCAAATCATAGCTGGGCGCTATATAGGCACTGGTACAGCTTCAAGGGATCGTTAATAACACTGTAAATAAATTATAGGTAATTAAAGTAAGTAAAAAACAAAAACAAAAACAAAAAAAAACACTGAGAAGGTTTAATTCCGAAAAAGTGAACACATTAAAGAAAATATAACGTTTCGCAAGAAGGAAATTTTTTTATTACTAGAATTGGTGGTGCAGAACAGAACGGGTTGGGCAAATGATGTGACGGCCTTGTGCGCCTCGCTTCTCACATGAAGAGTGATGGTGATGATTAAACGCTACGATTAACGCCAACTCTAGTTTTAAAATTTTACAGGCACTAGTCTAATCATTTTTATATGTTTTTATTTATTTTTGTTTGTTGTTTTGTTTGTTTGTTGTTGTTGTTGTTGTTGTTGCTGTTGTTGTTTCAGTGCTACTTACAAATTCCAGTCTTCGATCCTGTGCTATGGTCTTTTCTTCCTTCGTGTGAGGTGTGGACTCAACTCGGTCGCTAAATGGCGGGACAAAAGCAACTAGCAAATGCTTAACACTTGATAGTACTTTTGCCTTGCCTTTCGTGCGGCCATTGGTGAAGTAGCTACAATACTTGCTCTGTTTCCGAGATACTTTTATATCACTACGTTGTGCTAAAAAACTTTATTGCTATTCTCAGTCCAGTTTTCCACCACAATTCATTTCATATGTCAATTTTTTTCGAGATGACGAGGACAAATTTATTTCCTTAAGGGCCATGTTAAATTATCTGCGCGCGCTCTGGTTTTGGCGGGAAAATTTTTAATTTTTCTAGTAACACATTCTAAATGTTTTCTTTCAAAATTAAACAATCATTTAATATTACCTGTAAATTTTGCAGGTATGAGAACATTTCCCGTGATCAGGGATTCAAAGCGTAGAAAATCACGAAGTTTGAACTCTAAAAAACAAATTTTGGAGAGTTTGGTTTGAAAAGGTTTTACAAACATGAACTATGTTTTGAATGCAATATTTGAATCACATCAAAAAGCCATTTCTTGTAATAGAATGAATGACAGCTTTGAAAGTATTGACACCGAAAGGCACTTAGTTGAAGATTTTCGTATAAATTAACTGGAACACATTGGCTGTGTATTATTTTTGAGCGAACTAAAAGCAAAAATATATATCGACTCGTACACAAACTAGTCGGAATGCTGAGAAGATTTGTATAGACCTCGACTAACTGATTAAACCATTTTGACTTGTATTCCGACTGGAAACGACCAGCTAAAAAGCCCTAGGAAATTACCTGTTCAGCTTGTAGGTTGTACATACGGCTATGCATCCCTGGGATTGACAAACATCCGATAAAACTTTCAGCAATAGGATAAAGGACTTTCATGAAGAGTTTTCCTGCGACTAGTGTCTTCTAGTTCGATCCCATCGCTGAAATAAAATTTTCTCCGCATCTTAATGCACCATATGGTTCTACTTTGTTGCATTACTTTCTTTCTCTGGAATGTTGATGCGTTCAAAATGACGTTTGATTATGTCAATATTAGGAATTCGGCGTCGTGATTGGTTGGTTGCCCGTGTGACACCTGCAGATGCCGGTAAAATGATGTAATATGCACTGATGCGATGACGAGGGGTTTGTAAGGCGCGTCATTTTGAACACCGCTGTGTGATCAAGGATGAAGTAAGCGTACGAAATCTTGACACGGTACATATAAACAATCATTACCTCATGTTTGGAAAAATCCTCCAGCGCTTAGCTCATCTCTACTTGAAAATTCAGCCATGAAGTTAAATTTTTTCGAAGGTTTTAAGTTTAAAAAAACTTTTATATTTTGGAACTAAGAGGTCTTACGAATCCCTTTATTAAATTAATGATTTTATTTTTTTTAGCGTGACTTCAACACCGTGATAAGCATTATTTTCCGTAATTTTTCGTGACATTTTGCTACCTGCTGAACACAAAATAACTTTAAATTTTTTCAACTTAAAAACAATAATTAAATTTTACTTAAAAACAATAATTTATCAAGAATATTATGATACTGTGATGGGGAATCTCAGTTTCATTTGCGTAGGATAAGAGTGAAACTGAGCAAATAAACTATTTTTACCTCCAACCAGACCTTGGACGAACAAATTAAAAGGACGCATTTTGTAAACTTGTAAACAATAACAAACACTACTGAATTTTCATGCGTTCTGGTTCTGAACTCTGGATAGATCGTAAAAACGAAGGGTTTTACTTTAGCGTGTAACTTGCGCGCAAAGTACTGCTTGTAAACTATGCCAAGAGAAGCGACTCAAACTTTTTAAATTCGTCGCATGTACACAGCAAGTTCCCGCGCGTCGCTTGCGTGTGCTTACTTCTCTATTTTTCGCGCGCGTTTTTTTCGATATTTTTTGTTTCTCTATCTTTAACTTTATTCTTAAAAGATTATAGCCATATCTCATACTTTCCTAGAGGCGCGCATTAATTCAGATCGTTTTGCTTAGGTTGTCTGAGAGAATATAATGCAATTTCAAATTCAATTTTATTAAATAAATTGGGAGCTATTTCAAACTTTTTATAATGGGCTTCTAAGCTGACCCCTCACTTCTCGACATCACATGTGAGTAGAGTTTGTTAGGTCTCTCCCTTCATTCGAGGGTTTTCTCTCGCCTTGTTCTCTCGTACTGGTTTCCTCTCCGAGTCCGTAAAACCTAATAAAACACTCTAAATTCCTATTGAATTTGTGAGTTGCGCCCTAACTTTGTATTGTCAGCTCAGAGGGTGCTTAAGGGTATCGATCAAATTTAAAGTTTTTTGAACCTTACACCATAATGCAAATTAATTTATTGAAGAAACTTTATTTTACTTTCAATAAAATTTTACAATAACTCATCGAACTTTTTCTTCTGGACACTAAAATAAGTGCCTTAACTGAAAAATCAAAAATATGGTTGAAAAATCTGTCGTTGCAGTCGTCTGATTTCACAAGAAAGGCGGGACAAAAGCAACTAGCAAATAAGTAAAATACTTGGTAGTTGTTTTGACCCAACTCTCAAGCTAGCACGACTGCCATCGATTCGCTCTCTTCCATAATTTAATGTTTATCCAGTGTTCATCCGTCCTCTGTGACACTAATCGTGTCTTGTTTATGCTACGAGAGGGAGCATGGCTTGCTGCTCTGTAAGTAAATTGTCAAAACAATTGTCATCGCGTGATCCTGACTACTTACCACTGTGTCAAGGTCGTTTCTTGGCGATTTGACAGGCGTCTTTCGGTAAAACTTTACAAGAAAATTGGGACAAAAGCAACTAGCAAATGCTGAACAGTTGTTAGATGTTTTGTCCTAACTCTCTTGCAAAACTGCAAGTCTATGCTGGTAGCTCTAATGGTTCATTTTACATAGCTCTTCAACTGTAGAAAAAAAACTATACCTCCAGAGATTAGACTGATCACTATATAGACAAAATACTTCAAGATTTAAGAACACAAAGTAATTGAGACTTAATTTTGGCAAGAATCACACAATTGATATCAGTAGATTAAAATAAAAGAAAGCAGCGGAAGGACGAGGCAGTCCGGGATATTCCAGGGATTTTTGTAAATACCTGCTGAGCACTGAACTTACCCAAAATGTACTAGTGAACTTGGAAAGAAGGTTCATATCAGAACAACTTCACTTTCTTCAGTGCTGAATGTACACAAGGCCACAATGGTATAATGACTTTCGAAAAAATCTTCATTTATATGCTCTTTTCTCTCGAATCCTGAATTACTACCTCGTTCAGGAATGTTGATGATTTTGGCTCCACTAACCATTACCTCAACAAGGATACGAAATGTCAAAATGTCTGTGCTGTGATTGGTTGGATGATCGTGTAACACCTGTAGATGCCGGTAAAATGATGTAATATGCACTGATGCGATGGCGAGGGGTTTGTAAGGCGCGTCATTTTGAACACCGCTGTGTGATCAAGGATGAAGTAAGCGTACGAAATCTTGATACGGTACATATAAACAATCATTACCTCATGTTTGGAAGTCAAAGATATTTTACAATCCTTTCTTGCGTTCTCTTTACACTGGTTACTTTATGTTTAAACTTCCCAATGAACCGGTGTAAAAAGATATCAATTTTGTTGCACAATCCATGGCTTTAATAGCGTTTAATTCTTTCGACTAAAATGTGGTAAAAGTTAAATTCTATGAAACTATGTTCGAGATTCAATTATTGACATTTAAAATATAACATGGTTGAATAAGTTTGACTATACGAAAGCGACAAATTTCTTTAATGAGTCCCGTTTGACCCTACGATATTATTCTGGGGATATAAAGGACTTTAGGATATCAAAAATATGAGTTTTCGTAGGAAAAAAGTTAAAAAGTCTGTGAAAATATAGCGCGCAAAATCTAAATATCGATGGAGATGCGCGAAAGGGTTTTTGGGACTGTTGTCCGCGGTGGCCTGGTATCATGATTCCTCACCTGCAGCTTTGGTTCTATCGACTTTTATTGAATAAACAGTCGACAAAAATTGGTTTAATTCTACTTTATTAAGCTCTTTTCAAATCGTACAATGTACGTCAAGGACGCACCAGTGTATCTAAAATCCAGTGCATCGTTATTGTCCAATAATTTGGCTATTTTAAGGTCAAAAGAGAAGGAAAGTATAACGTATGCTGTTGTGCACAAAGCACTTGTTTGTCTCTCTAATGTGGGCAAAGGAGGTTTTTCTAACTTGAAACAAGTCGCTTGTAAAGGCGAAGGAGCTCATAGCAGCTCTGCAGTTCAACAGGTATGTGTCTCATGCATCACTGACCTCTATCTTCCCAGCAATCGGAGGCCTAAGTTTAATTTTAGAGACGAGCAGCTTTATGTAGTGTACATGATGCCATGGCGACCGTATCAAGGTGTCAGAAAAAAATGCTTTGTTTCACGATTCCTTTAATGTTTCCACTTCATTTTGAGTTATTTTGGATGTCATAAAACGGTTTTGACCTGATAAATACTTGAAAATCTAACTATTGCTTTCAAAACAAAAGGTCTGATCTCTATCACCAGAACGTGTGCACAAAATTAATATATAGCACAGTTAACCACTTGACTTCCGCTTTTATTATCCTACAAAAATAATTCCACTCTGAATTTTTATTCTTCAAGTTTAAAAAATTCCGAAATATTTTAATAATTTTTTTCTAATTTTCATCAGTTTTCTTAGACTTAGCTTATCTCACGATTTAAAATGTCATTCTTTAATTTATGATTTCAATTAATTCAGTGTTTACTCTAACTTAAACTAAATAACTTTGCCTAAGTTGAATTAGACAGACATTTATAGTGTCTTAAGAATCAATGTATTAGAAACCTTTCAGACTAAAAATATTGGCGCAAATCTTTAAGACATGCATTTTAGTGAACCTGGTATCCTCAAAGAATTATACAAAACTACAAACCTTTAGGATTTTCAGTCCATAAATAATTTATTTTGAGTCTCATCCTTAAAGAGTCAATTTTTTGTGGTTAGGATAAGCATTAAAAATGAGACAGAGATATTTTTCTGGAACTACTCTAAAATTCTAGTTATAAGCCCACTGATCATAAGCCCAAGCGGCTAACGCGTCGTCTTTCACCGCTGTGAGTCCAACAGGTCGGGTCGCTGGTTCGAGCCCTGCGGTCGCCACATGTGAATTGAGTTTGTTTGATGTGTTGTTCTCTCCTATGCTACGAGGGTTTTCTCTGGGTTCTCCGGTTTCCTATCTCTATAAAAATCAACATGTGAGTTGAGCGTTGTGTGCATAGAATATTATATGTAGTGGTAGTGCGTGTGAGTGAAAAGTGTCCCCAATTAGTGCGAAAGCGCTAGAATGACTAGACACTTAAATAAAARGTGATTTATTTATTTTAATTTAACCCTGAGAGGTTGGAAACAGGCAGAAAAAGTTTAAATTAGCATGTATAGAGTTGGCAAATGTTGACTGTATGTTAGTGCATCATGTCAAATGAGCCCAACATTTTTAGAATAATAAATGAAATGTTGGCATGATGTTGAGAAAAATGTTTGTCCAAAATAAAAACTTGACCAAACATTTAACCAACATCAAAAATCATATCCCATCATTGTTGGCAGACCATGACAAATGGTCCCATGCAACATTTGACCCAAGGAATGTAAGGTTGTATGTTAGTGTGTCATTTGTCAGGGACCTAACAAGGACTTTATGGCATGAATTTCATGTTTGCTGAATTTTTTTTCCAGGCAAAATGGTGTGTGTTACCAGAAAGAACTGTTCTTGTTATTGCATCTATCAAAGGTGTCCAGGTAATTTAATCATGACCACTTTGGATTTACTTGGCTCTAAAATTTTCAATCAAAACTGAGACCCCAGAGTCAAAAATAGAATGCCCTACCACTAAGCCTTGATTCTTATGTAGCTTTGTACTTGTTATTTGTATTTCCAGATGTTTGACCCTGATGGTACAATTATGATCTTCTGGCAATCTCTTCCTCCTTGTGAAACCACCGAAGGTTGGTTTGCATGACTGTAGACAGGGCTTAAAATAATGGCCGGTGATCGAACAATGTTTAACCAGAATTTGAACTTGTCCATACAAAGCTGTAGCTAGTACCTTAACAGGGTCTCATAAGTGACCCTTCATTGTTGCTCTATTTTGAGTCTTCTGCTTTATGATTTTGTTTCAATATTTTAGCCCTTTAGCCATAACAAGGCATAGAGGTACTCAGGGAGCATTCTTTTTTTAGCAGGGGCTGGGCCAGAGGAATACCAATAAGCAGCAATGTTAAATCTTTAGACTCCCCCTTTCTTCTGACTGCATAAGAAAGTGACCCTCCCCTTGAAATTTTTTGAATTCTTGTCCCTCCCCTTTATGTACAGTAGTATGAAATATTTGATGTCCCCCATTTTGACTGAGTAGAAAGTTAATGGTCCTCCCATGGATTCCTCTGGGTCCCCCACCCCCCCCCCCCCCCCCCCCCCCCCCCCCCCCCCCCCCCCCCCACTCCTAAAAAATAAATGCTCCCTCTGACATGATAAAGGAAATGTTTCTTTTTGACTTGTTTGGTGATAAATCAATATTTCTTTCTTAACAGCATACTCTCAGTTTTCAAGAGGGATATGTGCAGTAGGAGACAAATATGTTTGCGTTGGTGAGTAAATCATTATATCAACACATAACACATGCTTATGTCAGTATAAATCCTTTAAGCAGATCTCATTCATTTCCTGTGCTAAGGGATCCAAAAAATGTCTGCTACGTACCTGTAGTTTTAAAGAATATCCCTACCCTCCAGACTGTTCAAGATGGTCTGATTTTGCAAGGGGTGGGTAAGATCTGATGATGACATATTTTATCATAATGGTACTTAAGAATGGTATGAGAGTCTGTCATATATCCCCCTCTGAAGGAAATGAGCTTAAATTTTCTGAAAACAAAATTTGCTAAGACAAGTTTATTTTTCTATGCAGCCACTATTAGTGTTGTCATGCAGCATCAGTAACGACACTCATAGTGGCTGCATAGGAGACCAAGACAAGATAAGGATGCTGAAATGATAAAAATTTTAATCAAATACCATTATTTTTATTTAAGGTTGCTCAGATGGTGGGATCATGGTTTTCGATGTTCCATCTCATGGAACTGGTGTCAAGCTCCAAGAAACCCTTGGCAGTCATGTTGTATCTGTTTGCGACCTTGTTGCCAAGGATACTAAAATGGTGTCAGCAGATGAAACAGGTCACATGATTGTCTGGCAGGCAGGTGGACACTTCACACAGCTCTCAAAAATAGATGGTTTTGGGTGAGTTGGGTTGGCTTCATCTTTTTTGGCCCAATCAAAAATATCCCCTAAGATCAAAATTGGAATTTATAAGTTGATTTATGCAGATGGGGAAAAGCCAGAGATCTTAGAGAAAAGTCCTCAAAACAAGAGAGAGAATAAACAAGGATCTCGACTCACATATGATGCAGAGTCCAGGAATCAAACCTGCAGTTTTGGAACTGTTTTCTTGTTTGTTCCACCTCCATAACTCCTAGATGCTAAAATGTTTGGCTTTTTCAATCAAGACCTTTATTGTTTGATAAATTAAAGCTGATAAATATAAGTTGGAACAAAATGTAAAACCCTTGGAGTAGTTCAGAAGGGCCTTTATTAGTGAAGACAGTGGCAGATCCAGGATTTTGAAAAGGGGGTTCCAAAATGGCCACCACCTAGAAAAAGCTGGTAAGATTTGTTTCACAAAGGGGGGTTCCAATTTCATTGTCATGAGCATAAAGAACATGATTGGCTTCGGCTTCAGGAGATCTCACAAAAGGGGGGTTCCATGGAACCCATGGAACCACCCCTGGATCTGATACTGGAAGGAAAATGCTTCCTACACTACTTGGCAAGGAATTTCTCGATTGTAGATAAGATGGATTCAAAAGTGTTTTTATAACTAAGGATCAAGAAATATTAAATTCCGTTTTTCCTCTAAAATAATAGTGATTCCAGCATATCTGATATCTCTGTAACTTCCCAAGTTTTTGCCTGCTTCTAAGCGTTTCTGGCAAAATATTTCTCAATGTCTTATTTCATCAGTTAATTTCCTTTACTTACCAGTGAAGAAAGGAATGATACTCAAGGGAATGTTGTGGGATGAGATTCTGATTCTGGAAGGTATCTCAAAGGAGCTTTTAGAGGTTGGATAACCAATAGGGTGTCACATGACCCTGAACTTAAAGAGAGCAGTTGTGCCAAGATTTGCTTTCCACCCAGCTAATTTTCTTTTCAAAATCCTCATAAATTATTTGATTTCATATTTAACCTTTTCCTTGCAGCTTTCCTTGTTCATCACTTGCAATATATAAAGAATATATAATAGGAGGTTATGGCACTGGACATCTAAGAATATTCAATTTAGCTTCTGGCAAGATTATAGTCGAAATTTGTGCACATGCTCAATGGATTAATGCAATAGACGTTGCTGAGGAGAGCGGATTGGTAGGTTACTTGTAGTATTGACCCGGCTTTATGTCTTTATAGACCCCTCTAAAAATGATCTTGGATGCGAGGCGAACATGAAAAATTATACATAAAATCAGACTTTTTCTCGATTGAATTCGACTTTTTCTCGACATTTCTTTTGTATTTCCATGTTAGCTTCGCATAAATCCATTGAATACATGGGATTCAGGGTTTATATAATACGTTTTGAAATAAAGAAGTTCATGAACTCGCCAGAGAGTCCTGGCTGGTTTTGAAATCAGAGGAGAAGATCATGGTTGTATAAGCCGGAAAATTTTGTTCAGCTATCAGAGCATTCTCCGATCTTCAACCCTTAATGAAAACCCTGGGATTATACGTTGTAGAAAGCTATAAATCCTAAATGAAATGCAATTTAAATCTCAAAATGACGTTCAGAATTCTACATTGATGATGTCGTTGTGCGGCGGTTTGTTGTGTTGAGGACATTGCAAAAAATACTCACACACGACACGGCTACGGTACGGAAATGAATTCAGTTTGCAAGGTCACTGCTGTCACGGTCATGAATCGTACCCTTTTTTCTGTCATACGAAATCACCTAGACGGTGCGCATACATATGACTTGGTGTGTGATGTTGTTGCGTGATGTCCTGTGCTTGTGGAAGTGTACTACTTTCGTAGCCTATAAACTTTTACGACGCTTCTTGATCACGCGCGAAATCGTACGATTTTCTCTCGCGGCAAAAAAGTGATTTGGTGGCCGTCAATCAAGACATTGTCGGAAAAAAAACATAGTTATGGGAGGAAAAACTATGGAAAAACACAAAGTTTTCAATGACACATGTCAATGGAATGTGATTGCGCGCTGTGTTTTGGTTGCAAGATGCGTGAGATAGTAGTGCGATCTTGTTGTCTGCAGCAGTTATCATTGCGAGACACGAGTAACGCTAACAAAAATAACCGATTCTCGCAGTTTTCCTATCATAGTTAATATGTTCCAACGAAAGACCTTGAAAAGTCTTTCTTTGAAACTACTGTGAATAATGATTGTACTGACTTACTGCACGTACACGTTAGAGCGGATTTTGTCTAATGATCAACTGACTAACATCTTATCCAATTCAAGAAAGCAAAAAAAGCAATTGCGACGAAGCCTGATATAATAAGCCAGACTTAAACACACTCTTGTTACTAAGCAACCGTAGCGCATGCTGGATAAAATTTAAATAGAGGAAAACGAACACCTCATTTTTTATTCGATTTGATTCAATAATAACCCTCTCTTAATTCTTGTCTCACACAGGTGCTGTCCGTATCAGAAGACACCTTTGTACGTGTTTGGCAATTCACAGGCGGTGACAGTCCCAAGGTGAGTCAAATATTCAATGGAGATTTCTAGTATGTCTTGAAGACGTCTCCTTTCAACCTGTCAGTTAGCAATGAAATACATTTTCCTCGACGTTGGTGAGCTTCGTGCATTGATATAATCACCATGGGACACTCTTACGTCTTCAGTGATTAAAACTACGAAAAAAAAAAAAAAAAAATCGAATCAACAAAGAAGGTGTTGTACCGGAAGACATGCAGCTAGGGTGTTCCTGATAAGTCTGACTGACGACTGGTTGTCTCACGAAAAGAGATCATTTCAAAAAAAACCTGTAATCCAGCATTAAAGTATTTTCGTTCGTATTAAGCGTTGTGGAAAGATATGGTGGTGTTTTGTGGTTAAGTAGGAGTGGTTTGTTTGCTGTAGTTTTAACATTTCTCGTGTCGTTCCAAGATGGTCGTTCATCATGGCCTCCGTTTCTGGTTGTGGTGGTGTTTGACCTTGGTTTGTGGTTTGCTGTGTTTTGTACGAAGCTTGTTTTATTTGTTTGACTTTTAATGATTTGTTTTGTGCTTTGCTGGTGGTATTAGTTAATGTTTTGGGAAAGGCCATCGTCCTCAGAGCCATGAAATTCTTTATTTTCTCCAGGACTACCAGCGGAGTAAAAATGATGATTTTTAGAAAGTGGATATCTATTATTTTTAAATGATTCGTTTTTGACGTTAATTATCGTGGACGTGGATGATTTGGTTGATCTAGATGAGTTTTGGATGATGATAATGCTGGTAATATAAAGACGATTAACCACGAGAAAAAAAGAGTGTTTGGTCGTCGTTGTCATGGCAACCATGGAGAACTTCAAGCCTTTATTCTTTAATAAGCTTACGCTATCTTTTTTTAGTGTTATTTGCTTCAAAAGTTAACATAAAAATCGTTTATTTTTCAAGGTTTTCCCCCCCCAAAAAATTGTACTCTCACTTTTCCAAAGCAAATGCTATCTATAATAGTAAAGATTTTCGTTTTTTAAACCTTTTTAGGTCGAAATAAAGTTCCAACAGTCTATTCCAGACACACAGCTATCGGGAGGCAAGTTTTTGGATCCCGAAGGTCAGAGTTTTGGGCTGACTGCGTACGATCTTACAGAAGTGTATGTCTTCTCGAAGAAGTGAAGTAGGACTGAAGAAACGCGTCACTGCTGACGCAGATAGTAATTATGGAAAGAAAAAAAAACCAAACAAAAGGAAAAATAATATAATGCATTTATGGTCTTTACGTTTTTCATAAAGGGGAGTATCTGTATTTATGAAGCTTGGAATCTAGTATTATAAGGGGAAATCGTACAAAAATTCAAATTTTAACTTATAATAAGATCTGATCATGATCTTCGCGATAGATGACAATGCTTTTAGAGGCAAAATAGGAGTTGTCGGAGAAAATTCTACTCGCATAAAAAATGTGTGATGGCTTAGTTCAGTCATAGTAGCTAGGCTATGGTTCAGTTGAGATGATTGTCAGCGAGTTTATGTTGTTAAAATTCGAATAAAAGAAAAAGCGAATAAAAGGAAGGGAAAACAACAATTGAAATATGCAGCATGTTAGTTCCGTTCAAGCTTGGATTCAGGAAGACTTTTGTATAAACTATGGTTGCCAAAAACAACTCTTAACTGAATTCAGTGAATCTTAGCATTCAATTTTTAAGAAATAGTGAATTTTAGTTGGAATTTCAAGAGGATTTATGCTATACGCTTTTTATTCTATAAAAATGGGGATCTCCCGTTGTTTTCGAGGCCAGAACGAGTTGATCTTAGCACTTTATTTGTTAAGATTTAAAAACTTAAAGTCATTTTCTATCGCTTTTCCTTGCTTTAAAAAAGGAAAAGAGAAGGCAAAAGACAAATCTCATTAGAGAAATATTTCAGAAATATTTAAGCCTTGATTTTTATCACTGTTTCATATTAAACACACTGACTCTGACGAAAAAATCGTGTATAATTCCGTCACGACGATTCCGTAAACAGCGCTCAAGGAAGTGAATCTTTTCTACCGCGCTTCTTTCGGTCGATAAAGCAGAAAAATTCTACCTCGGTATGAGAAAACGCAAAAATTGTTTTTTTTTGAAAGAGGGGATGGAAGGTCAAACACGACAGTCATTTTACGTCCAAATCCGCCCAAGTTTATTCGTTCTTGGAATTCATGAAATTCCTCTTTATCTGTACTAAAAGAATAAACTTGGAAAATTACCAAAAAAAGCCAAAACAATTTAAATAAAATCAAACAAGGAAATCGCTATAAAGGCTATATTTATTTTTTCTTTATTTTTTCTTTTTCTTTTCGAACAAAGAGTAGGTGATTTATTCAATTTTTCGTTACCCCTCGCTAAGATTCATCCGGAATATTTATTTTCCCGCTTACCTCCTATTGGTTCAGTCTGGGCCAATAAGAATCGAGCAAACAACAAACACTGGTCGGTCACGACGCGGGTGGGCTATGAGTTGGACTCTTGGGTTTTGGGCGCTTGATTTTAACAACAACTACACGGTCTAGGGAGCTGAATTTTACACCAAAATGGAGAAAAACTATCCCTTTGATTAGGCGAAATTGAATGGTGCCACTCAAAGGTGAGATCTGCTGAGTATTGAGAGCGATAGCCTTTCAAATGACGCCTAGCGATTGGTTAACGACAGTCTACTTGTTGATAGCTAATGTCGAAATCCGAGTTTACTGCGATCGAAAGGTCTATGTTTGCATTGTTTTCTGGGAGTTTAATGGCCTCGTGGGTTCTTTGAACGACCATTTTTCAGCTACTATGAAAGCTATGCTCCTCTAAAGCCTAGTATTTGACGGTTTGTCTACCTATTCCCAAGTCTGTGGAAATGCCCTGAAGATTTGTTGAACGACCTCGGCAAAAATTCAGTCATAAATTTTGATCGTCTTGCACGCGTCTTGTCCTGGTCTCCGCGAAATGTCATACTACAAAAACTGGCAACGAGAGAGAGCTTTTTTCGGGGATCCCAAATTCAGGTTCGGAGCAATTGTACCTTGACTATTTGTGGCCGGAATATTTGGCAGGGGACGAGTGCTGCTTCGAATGCGCAATTCAGTATGCGTGGGGTTACTGGAGCTCTTTGTCATTCTAATTAGATCTTTTGTTGTCTTTCCACCGTTCGCTTTATTCAGATTCAAGAAAGACCTTTGGTTGAGCCCGAACCGCTTTAAAGACTACAATTACAAGAACGAAGAGTATTCCTGGGAAGTTTTAAAGCTTCCAGGATCTGGCATTGTGGACTCCAAAACGGCAGACGCACGATCTTGGAGAATGCCTAGCATACCTCTTCCTAGCCCGAATTATTCGACGGGGTAATATATTATGGATACCTTGTAAGATTCTCTTCTTTCTTTCACTCTTTAATGACTGAACGCACCTTATACCCCATAGTTTCCTTCAATTTTGTCCAAACCTAAGCTCTAGCCTAATATAGGCCCTCGAAATTAATCCGAATGCTTGATCAAGCGTTCGAGAAATGTTCAAACGCACCAATTTGTCAGTTTTCAAACGTTTACAAATGTTGTTCTTGTTTGTTTCAGGCGCCATACGCCTTACTATACACACCCCGATATTCGGATATACGAGCTAAATAGACGCTTACAGCAGAGGACAGAGGTAGGTAGCCCTTTTGCTTGGCTGGTTGAGATCTTTGTGGCTGTGACCGCATTCCCATCGCACCTCATCTTGTGATATTGTTTATGTTTAAAGGCATATGGGGGACTTTCGCTCGATGATAGAATGACCGATCGAGTAGAGCATGCAAATATTCATTCACCGTTCGTAGTCCTACATTTTTCGGCTTTACGTATCTAAACTAGAAAGTAGAACGACTCTGTTTTGAACAATGTGAAGCTCTTACTCTAAATATATATCTTTTTCTTCCACTGTGAGTCTGGAAGCATGATTTTCAAAGCTCACAGTTCGAACCTGTCGCGGTCGAAGAAGAGCACCTTTGTGTAGTGCACCTGTTGTTCGATGCAATTTCTTCTCACAAAAAAATTCCTCGTAAATGGAATCTCCTATTGATTGCTGTGTGGAGAAAGACAGTCATAGTAATAGTCAGTGTGGTGGGTGTCTGGGGTTTGTAGTTTTACTGATGTAAAAATATGAATTACGAGAAACAAGAGAATACAATCTTGGCAGGTGCACTACAAACTACTATTTTGTCCTTCGATTTGTCCCTTTCGTTTCTCCTCCCATTTTCTCGTACTGTTGACTTTCTAAATCCTTTTTGACAGCGTTGAAGCACATTACTAAACCAGACCAAACAAGCATCCTAAATGTTCCATCTAGCAGTAATTTCATAGTTGGAAGAACAAATTACCTTTCTTGTTTAAGCTTTGTCCTCCTCTACTTCCTAAGGTGTATGTGGATGTGTGTGTGTTTCGGTGTCTATTTTCACTATCATTGGACAATTCCACTGTCAAAAAAGCCACTTGTGATTGTGGTAATCAAGGGGCATGAATCTAGCAGTGTATTTGGACATTATTTTTAAGTGTTCATTTGACTTTTTTCAGACAGTATTAAAAGTAAGGAAGCTGTGATGGCTATTTATCTATGTATGAAGCAACAATCGACCATCTGCATGCTTTAAAAGACTCTTAGCGTTTGGCTTCTTTTATTTGAATACTAATGACTGCTTTCCTTAGAAAAAAAGATAGACAGCTGTTTTGCTAGGCTTTGAAAAGTCTCTCCCACTCTATTGCCTCTAAATGGGAAGTAGTTCTAGCTTCAGTTCCTACCAAACCTTCATCCTTTCATCCAGGTTTTCATTCAGCATTATTTGATTCACTTTGTTGAAGGAAAACCATGTTTATTATACTATTAACCAAAATACTTCCAGGCTTGAATAGATTGTTTTAGTTTCTTCGAATTTATCACCCCAAATGATAGTAATTTTCAGTTTATAGTAATAATTTTACAACAAATTTTGTGTTATGAAACCTAGCATTTTAATGTATGTATTTTACCATTTAAACTGTACTTATTATTATTAGGCATGGACATTGTCACACGTCTAGCCCTTAAGTCCTTATAAAGCATTCAAAGAATTCAAAAGGACTAAAGATTTCCCCTCTCGATTTGACATCTTGCAAGCCAAACCAAAACACACATTTCAAAATAAGACAGATCGTACCCAAAAGAATGTAACTATGATATATGTTTTGAACTTAGAGGGTCAAAGGTAGAGTAGATCATGATAAGAATCTGAGATGATGCTTTGAAGTAGTTACCTACACCATGGTGGTGTCTATTTTCCAGTAAAATAAGCAGAATAAAAAGACAAATTGCAGTGCTAACTTTATTATGCATTACCACAATCATTTATTTAAATTCTCTTCCAATTTTATATTTACCCTAAAACTTAACATTTAACATATAAATAGACAAGGGATTTTCAGTTTATTGAGCAAATTATTTAGGTTACTTTTGTAATGTTTTAAAACCTGTAAATGAAATATTATCATAGAATTCAGGGGTTATCAATAAAAAGTGACAATATTTTCAAACAGCAGTTGAATGTAAAAATTATAAATTTATATACATACATTTCATGAGTTAATCCTAGAGGTCATATTCATGCATGTACAAATATTGTGTAAAAGATATCTTCAAGCCAAGAAGTTTTATTTTATTCAAATATTTCCCTCATTAATTGCTATCTATACCTTGGGTATATATTATAGAAGTCTTTGTCATGGTTTTGGCATATTTTATGTTTGTTGAATTAGTTTTGTAGCACATGTTGATGTCTTGTTTTTAGGTTAGGAAGTTAAATTCCTTATCAAAGAATCAAGAAGTTCAACTTAGATTTGCATATTTCGTGGGGTACATTTACGTCAAGATCTGATTTTATAACTAACTCAGTTAAAACTGTTCTTATATAAATGACTTTAACACTCTGATTTCAGTATATTTATTCTCATGTAAACAACATTGATGCATAGTAGCTTTGGTTACTTCCCTCTTGTTTTACCTCTTCATTTTTCTCTCTAATGTTTTTCTTCATGACTCAGATTGTAAATTTAAAGTCTCTACAGCTTACACTTTTCACTTTGAGTGAGGTGACCAAATAAATAAACTTACTCAAAGGAGATATAGATCTTGCTCTCAGAAGATTTGTTAACTAAAAAAACTGCTACTGTGAAACTGTTGTGTTTTTCGTATACACAATTTTATTGTTTTGATTGGACAAAAATTAATCTTTCGTGTGGTTTGTTGAATGTGGTGTACCAAGATTTTGCACTCCTCTTCAAATCTTGTTGAATGTTGCCTTGAACATAAATACATTTAGGATTTCCTACATTAATTTTTATTTTGTTTTGTTATTAGGAAAGTGATAACTTATGGTGGGATAGCTTTGTAACAGAATTTTTTGAAGAAGATGCGACTTTAACACTTAACTTTTGTCAAGAAGATGGACCTAAAAGATACAGTAAGTAATAACAAATGTGACAGGCATAAAAATAAAAAAAATGACCATCTCTTCCTCCACAATGCCAAGGTCAGAAATCAAGGACCACAGACAACCCTAAGAAGCTAGAAGGGGTGCTAAAATTGGAAAATATAAGAGACTAGTATGAGAAAAGGGAAAAAGTGGGGGGAGGGGGGGGGGGGCTAAATGAAAACTCTACCAGGATGTTTTGGTTAGTTCTTAATCTTTTATTATTTTTTTAAACTTAATAAAAACCCTGAATGCATTGTCTTAAGAATAAAATATTTTGCCTTTATTCCTGGTGATGATTTCCCCAAACCTGTGTTAATCTTCCTAGAGGGGTTTCAGAAACTTCTATTCCCATTCTATTTCCCATTCCATTCCCAGTTCCTGAATTTAGTAAATCCACTTTCTTTCCCATTAATTACTGAATACTGAAAAAAAAATGTAGAAGTTTTATTGGTTGTTCAGAAAGTATTTAAATTCCAGTTTTATCATTTAATCAACAGCTATTGGAAGAACATTAATTCCACGTTATTTCAGAAGCATATTCGAGGGCGGTGTTACAGAATTGTATTACCATCTTTTACAACCTAAAGAATCATATCATAATACTACAATAACATTAGACTGTGAGAATACTACAATGGTGACCAGTCATATAAAGCCGTTTTATACTAAGGTATGTTGTAAAAAATTGTGTTGTTTAATCAGCAGCGAGTGAGGTTTAGCTACAAAAAAATTTGTTAGAAGTCAATGTAGTTCCTCGAGCTTCAATGTAGGTACCAAATTTACTCGTTTAAGTTATTAATTTTTTTGGGTTTCATATGTGGTGTTAATTTGAGGGCGGCGTTTATTTGGTGCTTATTTCAAAAAATGTGTTTACCATAATATACATAATGTGTAACCTCTTTTTCTTTTACTCTGACGAAGAACTAGCATCCGAAATGTCAGTTTTTTCATCTTTTCACGGTGCATAATTGGCCTTTTTATCATTATTATTTGTGTAACCAATGGTTTAATACAAAGTGAATACAACCGTTTAAAAAAATTATGTAAGGATAAAAGTGGCACTTATTCAAGAACGGCGCTTATTAATAATTTTGGTTTTTGGTGGGGCGCTTATTTGAGGGTGGCATTTAATCGGGGGCGGCACTTAAACGAGTAAATAGGGACTTTCAACGATTAAAGGTGGTAGCAGTAGTACATTAGTTTATCACCACTGGGATATTGGATTCTGTTTCTGGAATGGACATCAAATGTGAGCAGAGTATATTAGTCATCTTCTTTGATTCAAGGGATTTTCTCTGGTTTTCTTCCCTTACAAAATCTAACAAGCTAGATTCCGATTTGATCTATGATTTAGCCATGCCCTGACCTTGATCTGCCTAGAGATGGTTTCAGGATATCCAGGTTTTTCTTCAATGGATACATAAGGCTAACAGGGATTACAAAGAAGTTAAAACTAATGTGTGAGATTATGGGGGGATTGAACTGTGGACCTCACACTTAGCAGGTAGTACTGCACAGCATACTGATCATCATACTTATTGAGCCGTGCTTACTCCAATAAATTTAGTGTGTTAAAACTATGTTCTTGAAGGGTTATCTAACTTTTTTTCTTGAATTGCTGTTATATGTAGGAATGATTTTGGATTCACAAATTTATTTTTTTAGGTTTGTACAGAAGGAAGATTAATTTTAGAGTTTACTTTCGATGATATTATGAGAATACGTAACTGGCATTTCACGGTACAACAACACCGAGAAATGGTCCCTCGTAACTTAGTAGTAATGCAAGAACCTGGGATGATAGAGCAGGTTGCCAAGAATGTAACAAGAAATGGAATGACAAACTTTACTCTAAACTACTTACGGGTAAGAATTGTGGTAATATTTTTAGTGTTTTAGATAGGTTTTGGACAGCATGTCCACAAATCCAATTCTTCTCCCGTAAACACCGTAAACATCTACATGAAATAACAATTTTGCCTGAAATCGAAACGAAATGTATTCCTTATTTATACTGTTCATTCTATATATATGTTCCTTCCGCTATTTCACTTTTTCTCTATTTCGCGGTTTAGGAATACCCCCTTTCGTCCTTCAAGTCATCTCTTAAAACTCATTTGTTTAAATTAGAATTTAATTTGTAATTACTATTTCTCATATATTTTTCCTTAGCGCCTAGAGCAGTTCTGGATAGGCGCTATACAAATAGTTATTATTACTATTATTATTATTATTAATATTTATGGGTTCTTGGTTTATAGCTATGCGTAATCTTAGAACCAATGCAAGAGCTCATGTCCAGACACAAGACATACAACATGAGTCCCAGAGGTAAGCAAATAGAGTTAGATATTAGTTAGTATGTATTGGTAAATCATTTTAGAGGATACGTATGGAGGTATTAAAAAAAAAAAGAAAACTAGAGGGAAGGGTAGGACCTTTGTTGCATTCAGAGTTACAGTGCGACTTGCAAAACAAATTATGACCACATTTAATGTATTCGTGTAGACCCTTTGCACTGAGTCCCAAGAGGAAATGTTCTAGGGGACAAAGCAATTGATGTATTTTTTACATAAGAAAAGATGGCCTATTGTTTTGTCCCCCAGAACGATTCGTCTAGGAAATCAATGCAAGGGGTCTATACTTTTTGCTACCAAACAAGCTTTTACATTCCTTATTTGGTCAGCTAGCTTTGCAACAAAATGTATCCGGGTTAAATGTACTGTACGAAGGCCCACGCATAATTCATCCATTACTTCTATTTTGTCTTTTCCTTTCATTCATCTCTTTCTTTCTATTCCTTTTTTTTCTTTCCTTGAGTCCATCTATCTTTCTATCCTTCACCATGTCTTTCAATTCTTTTTTGTTTCTTCCTTTCTTTTTATGTTTATTCAAATACAAATTCAAAAGGTAATCAAGACCAGTACAAGTATAAAAGCATTACTTAATAATTAATGTGTATAGTCTGCTGGTTTGTAGTGTTAGATATTTGGCATAATGTTTCTAATCATTATTTCAGAGACTATAAACTAATCTTTCTCTCTTTCATTCAATCATTCATAGTGACTACTTAAGATTTTTCATTTCTCTTTAGACTGCCTTAAATCAACACTCTTTCAAAGATGGCAAAGAATGTGTGCACCACCAGGTTTGTTTTTCTTTTCTTTTTTCTTTTTTCTTTATTTTTTTTCTCTCTTTTTTTTGGTTCAGGTTTGTGCTCAATATATAGTCAAAATATATTATATTTATTTAGTAAAAATACACAGGTGATTATTTAAAATCTCGCACGCTGATTGGTCAAGAAACTCGCACTATAACACAATAATCACCTCCAGCAATAATCCACAATGTCGGCCAGCCGCTTTGTTGCTGTTACTGGAAAAAATATCTTATCTTCTTTTATTTCTTTTTTTTTCTTTTTTTTTCTTTTCTTTTTTTCTTTGAAAGAATCACCTGTGTATTTATACTAAAACAATTATTTGCCTCAGCCTCAGTGAATATATTCACTTCGCCTTTGGCGAATAATTGTTAAATATTGCAAGGAAGTTTCTAGTTCTAGGATCCTTCTCCTCCCATATAAACAGGGACCTAGAATCAGCTTTTCCAGCTTCATTTATTTAGCCATGAAGCATGTTTGCAATACTGCATAGAGGTTACACAACACTCGGAACTAATGGAATTTATTTTCTATAGAATATCAAGCAGAGATGATGTGGCCACCCACAGCTACTACACCAGGTACACCCACCAAAGGTAAATATGACTGGTATAACTGGTATACATATATGTGGAGTTTTCTTCACAGACCTGTTGGAAACCACCTGTTGATTTGGAACAGGGGTCACAGAAATGGAAAGCAGACATGTTGTGAGACTACTGCAGTTGGACCCTCTGAAAGAAGAACTTTTTTCCTGCTTGTCTGTATTTTAAAGTAATTTATTTTTACCCATTCAGAAACAAGTCGTCCTACCAGAACAAGAAGAAAACGAAAATCTTCGTCCACACCCAACGCATCTACACCAACATCATCTGGAAACAGCACATCGAAGAAAAAATCTCCTACTGCAGCCAACTTTACTCTGGCAAGTCAAGATGTTATGGTTGTTGGGGAGCCATCACTTATGGGAGGGGAATTTGGTGATGAGGATGAGAGACTCATTACACGGTAAATACTATGCTTTCACTATCATCTAGTTGGGATTATTTCACTTAGGTATTATAAGGTGTTGCAAAATATGAGCTTTGAATCTTTTTTTTTTGTTGCTTTTATTTCCAAAGAGTTCAGCTACCTAGTATGGATGATAATGCCATTTTCTTTAAAAATTGTTATTTTGTCTGCTTTAAAATTTTTTTGAAAAAAAAAATCCTGTACTTGTCATTAAGTTCATTTAGTTCCTGGCAGCAGCATCGTTAATCTTGTTCATATTAACATCTAACAACATGAGTTCTTTAAAATCTATCAGGACTAGTATTATTGGTCATATCCATATTGGAGTAGACATATGACTGTAAAGCATTGTTGCCTTGGGTTAACCAATCACATTGAAGAAATCAGTAATCAATCAACCAATCAGAATGCTGATCATACAGTCAAGGTTGTTGTCAAGGATACGATTCCTGGTCTTCATAAACATTTTCACAGTCCTTCATGAATCTGCTGTGTCGTTAAAGCCTGCAGCATTTTTAAAAAGACAAAGTCAGAGGTCATAGAGAGGTCTCAATTAGAGAGGGCAGTGTATCATTTGCCCACCAAATCTACAGGAATCCTGCATAAATTAAATAAATTTAGGTGCCAGAAGCAAACTTTTTTGAGGGGGTGGGAGGGGGAATTTCCCCCCCTTCTTACACTAGTGCTACAAGTTGTACATCATGTTTTAAAATCTGTAAAATTTCTTGTTCAGACAACTGTGCAATATAAGTAACGTGAAAATTTCTATCACAAAAATATACTACATTTTCTTGAAATATTTGACATCTGGCTAACAAGGCTTCAAAGCTGTGTTAACATTATTAATATAGAGATTTCTTTACACTATCTGCTTCAGTTGACATGCACTCTCTAAGAATTCGAACTATGTTTTTGATATTAAATATAAGCATCTTTTGTAACCTTTTAGTTTTGATAAAAAAATACTTTGTATTAAATTTAATGTGTTCAACAATTTAAACAGATAACAATATTCCTGTGACACAACTTCAGCTAAACATTTTGCCTCAATATCTTAGTAGTAACCCTAATTTTTCAGAGCACTTTCTTTCACTCAGTTCAAAGCACAAATATCATCAAAAAATGTTCAACTCTAAGGTTTTGTAGCCAATGTAGAACTGTTTTTTTTTCAAGGGCATTCCTGCATGTAGCAGTCATTTCTGTTGTTCTAATTTCTAAAGTAGAAGTTCTGAAATGTGAAATACTTCACAACATAACTTTGAGTTTTATTCCTGTGTTGTTTCCACTGGTGATTTTCACTGAGTTCTAATGTTTCCTGGATTTTAAACCAGCTGATGACCTTCAACTCCCTGTCAGCTTTGATGCATGTTGCAGAAGTTAAAAAGTAAAATTAATTTTTAATTCACTCTTGGTCAGCCAGAAAAAAAAACCACTCAGATGTTTTACCAAGGGTTTTGTTGGTGGAGTAAGACTCTTGAATTTTACTCACTTAAAACTTATCTAAACACTCCGGATGAATATAAAGTTGACTTAGTTACTTAAATCTATAGAGTTAATTTTTATGGTAATACTATTTGTTAAAAGCTACCTAATTTATGATTTATACTTGAGCAAGTGGAGTGCATAATGTTTTAAAGTTTTGCATTGTTTTTTGTGTGCAAGTAAATGTGTTGTCATTTGTAGCCTAGTTTATAACTAGGATTGACAAACTTAAAGACAAATTGAGACTATTTTCTGTTCTTGTAATCAGGCTGACAGATCTGTGAGTAAAGTATGGCCGTGCGAGTAAGTACATATACACCAACCACTTCCAAATAAATGTATGTGAAGAAGCATTTTGTAATCCCTAACTTTATAACCAACTAAAGCATGAATGTGACCTTGCATGCGAACTATTGTCCAGTTGTTATAACCTTCACTAACCAAAACATGTGATCACTTGATTGTATATTAAAAACCCTAATATTTATGGAATCTAGGATTACTTTACTAAGACTTGGAAAATGAAAAATTAAACCTCCTTTTAACTTATCTATGACATAATTTTCTTTTTTTGTATCTAAAAGAATACAAATTATAACCATAAAAGTTTGGAAAATAGCTGTTTATATATCATAACCCCAAAATGTGATTAAAATATCAAGTTTAATTGATCAAACTAAATCGACTTAACCTAACTGTAGTCTTTGTCATTGAATGAAAGCTACATGCAGATAATGCCTTTGTTGTTTTGTCAACAAATTTCAACTTGTCATTTGCACCTAACGTCTCTAGTCATGTGATCACATTGATATTTACTAATGACTAATATTCTCTCTCTTGCCTCTTGTGTTATTTTATGTTATTACTTTTGACATTACTGCCGTTTGCAAGCAACAATTTATGGTGGAACTTTTCGTAAATATTTCTTAAAGAAAGTTAGTCACTTGATATTGAGATCTTTTGAAACAGGTCTTTTAGACCTAGTTGAGAAAACGTTATTTAGAGGCAAATGAAATGCAGAACATTAACTTTTCTTCCTTAAGCCAAATATTGGATTACTGCCTTTGCTAAGGAGATAAAAAAATTATTTTTGAATTTTTAGATTACAAGTGCCTTCATTGATACATGCTGATTGAGGCAAAAGTTGAGGCAGGTTTATCGTCAGTAGGCTACTGTCAATCAAACCAATCCTTAGAGCACAGTTCCCATGCACCTTCATATATATACTAACATGTATTACCAATCAATTAACGTGGTGTAATGTATCTTGATGTATCAATGCATACCACGATTTAATGTTGCTTGCAAACGGCAGAAGTACTTGCAAATCAAGCACAAAGATTGATCAAAAGTTTTCATACTCTATTATTGTAGCCTTGAGAATGTCCAGTTTGATGCATCAGCCAATGGGTTACGTGAAGACAGGGAATGCAACAGTAGTCCCATGAGGGGAAGCCCTCGAACAAGAATCTGGCCAGCTGACACAAAGAAACCAAAATCAGAAAATAGCTCAACTGAATGAGTGTTCCATTCTATGCTGACAAGTTCTCTGCTGAGATATATTTTATTCTACGACTGGCTGTGGTTCTAAGTTATTTCATTGTTAGTAAAAAGGTTCCTGAAAAAAAGGCAGGGATAAAAAAATCACAGTGACTTTGTGTACTTAAAAATGCTCAGACATGAAAATGAAGAGGTTTACTTAATGACTTGAACTTCTATGGCATCATGAACTGTCTCTGTTCTTGACATGCACATAAACAAGTTGAAATCATGTACTCAAGATTAAGACAAAAGAAACAAGAAGAACAAATAGTTCCCTGACAAACTGCAAAGAAAGTGATATTAACTAGATGTGATGATGCTGAAAGCAGAAGTCAATGATGCATAGATGATATCGCTGAAGTAAATATTACACCATCAGAATGTAGATTAACTTTAACTGTAATATTAATGTAAGTTACTTGTATAAAGTTAAATTTTTAGCTGGAAGTTGTTCACATTGTCCACAACAAAAATATCTAATGATTTATTAATGTGTTAATAAGCTTAACACATTTTGGAATATTCTTTTGCTTTGACCTCCAGACTTGGATCTTTGCAAAGGGTCTGTAGCTTTTAATCTAACTTTATATTTTCTCAGAAATTCTTAGAACAAATCATAATCTTTACAGCAATTTTCAGTGACACAGAGAACAACCTAGAAACAGCATTTCTATTTTACACACTGAAAAAAAAACAACTCTAACCATTGAAATTTTGATTGACAGCTGCAGCCAAAACTCTGATGTCGATGTCTCATATTATTAAAGTTTGTTGTCTGGGTCACTTATTATGAAACTGGTAAATTAAGAACTTTATAAAATTGGTCACTTTTTCAGAGTCAAATGGGTTGAAAAACCAAATTCAAACCCAATCTGATTCAGGTAACCAATAATTTAGCTATTCATTTTGACAGAGTTCTTAACTTATTTGTTTAAAAACTATAAGAGGCACCATTATTTTTCAATTTTAATACATTTGTTTTTGGCAAATGGCAAACGTTAGTCACTGAGAATGCTATAACCTTGCTATTTTACATTTCTTTCCTCAGTTTTCTAGCTAATGATTTCAGTGAAGTTTGAAATTCTTGGGCAATATGCATTAAAGATTCTGATGAGTATTCTGCTTCATTAGATGGCAGATACATATTATAAGTGGCTTGCATTCCTTATTATCAAAATAAAAAGACATGGCCTCAATATTTGTTGATATGACAAAAGGAACAAAGACCAAATCTTTTGTTAAAGTCAACAAACGTGACGGCTAACAACGAGTCACAGGAATGCACACCAACAATAATTTCCAAGTATTTATTTGGTGTGTGTTTCAATGACTGGTAATAAATTGACTTCTTTAATGATATGGCAGCCATCTTGGATCGCAAGGCATTATTGGGCATCCAGGGGGCAAATAAAGCTGTTACATTAATGACCTTGATTGATATTAACAGCTCACCACAAGAGAATACGACAAAAGAAGAATTAAGATGGCACATGGATCACCTTTAGCCATAAAAGAAAGACAAACATGCAAAACTCTATAATAATGTTCAGTCATCTTTGTCCCCCRACCCCCAGCAAGATGGCGGCTGTATCATCGAAGCAGTCCATTATACTGACTAACAGTATTTAAACAGTGAAGCAAACTTTTTTAGTGCATATTGTCTATTAAGAAATCACTTCTAGTGTTATGTTCATACTTACTTTGCCATACAAAAAATTATTTTCAACTGACAGGTTTTCTTAACTAAATAGTGATTTTATTTGCCCCTTAAACAAAGTTGTATTATTAGTGACTAAAAGTCAAAGTAAAACAATAGAAAACAACGGAATTAGAGTTTCCTACTATGTTACTATACCAACAGTTACTTTTTTTTTTTCAAGGGCCAAGTAAAATCACTAAATTTTTCCATATTTAGTCTTTTCCACTAAAAAAAAGCAGAAAGGCTGTAAGATCGAACATGCGTACATTGGGGGTTGTTTTAAAGTATGTAGCTCTATAATAATTATACATACACATATATATATATAATTATATATAAACATTTGTTATTTTCAAGAAACAAAGATAAAAGTTCACATATATATGCAGCATATGGTGTTTTTATCTTACATGGAGTAAATCCTAACAAAATTCTGCTCAAAATTTATGTATTTGGGTGTAATTTTTTCCCTATTTTAGTCCTTTTTCTCAGTCAAATTTCAGTGCTTGGTGATAATGAGAAGAGAGGAGTACAAACGAATCTTGATTTGAAAAACCTGCTTCAACCTCTTTTTTATTTTTAATTCCAAGCTTTCAGACTGTATTCCATTTTCAGGGAGAAATATTCAATGTTACATTTCAGTGCCAGTAAGTGTGTGTTGGTGTAGATGAGCAATGATAAAGTAGTTCTTCAATGATGAAGCAATTCCAAGGGCATGATTTGTGATCTTATGCAGCGAAGCACCAGCCAGGCTCTGTATCATGTGAGTAGAGTTGTTTGTTGTTTCTCTCCTGTGCGTTGAGTCGGACTTTTTCTCCAGTTTTCACTCCACAAAAATCAATTCCTAATTTCCAATTTGATTATGTGATGAGTGCTTTAGCCATAAGCCTTCATCCCTGGCTTGTGATCAGGAGACTAAGCAATCACTACTTAAATGTTTGATGTCAAATAATTACTGGTAAATAAAATTGTACATTGAAAACAAACCACTAAGTCAAATGACATCGAAGATCAGCCACCAATCTGTCAATCTCCTCTCTTGTTTGTCTATCAAGCGCCCCTTTCATGTGGATATTGATCACCATGGAATCTTGACAGTGACTAACAAACTTGGAAAATGCAATCCATTCCTTCTCACGGCTCAAATGAAGTTCTCCCTCAAAGTGAAATCCTAGTCTGTTGAGCTTCTCTATGGTTGTTTTTAGAAGTTCCGTCAAGGCCTTCAGCGTTGCAGGTGTGAGATGGCCACTAGTAGGGAGGGTGTCGTCAGGTGAATAAGAGTTATAATCAAGCTGAAAGTGCCTGACTGCTAGAACAATTACATTATTAAAGTAGGGCTCTGGTATGTCGATTAAGTGGCTAAGATATCCAAGAATGTAGAGATAGTTGAGGAGAACAGTCATTAAATTGCTAGCAGTCTTTTTCTCTTCATCATTATAATATACACTCTGGACTAACACATTCTTGTGTTGAGCAGCATCCAACACAAAATCAGTACTTATGATATCCATTGGCTCTTTCTTTTCCAAGCTGTCCGTAATTCCTATAGAATTATCGAAGAGCCCTTCATGTTCAGAATGTTCACTATGAAGATGCAAAAGTGTAAGATCTGACGACAAGCACTGTGTTTGAACCTTTCTCTTTGTGTCCCCACTTTTATCTAATTCTGTATCAGTAGAAGTGTTTTCTGGGTTCATACGAACAGTTTGGTTCCTCGGCTGGATGCAGCTTAGTCTTTCAAGTGTACAATACCACTTCAAACTATCCTCTACCTCATCATATTGACCACTTTTGATGGGAATAAGAGTCAGACTTCGTTGAGCATTGCTTGAGTAGAGTATAACTGTGCTACCAAGATGAGTGTTGACTGATGCCAAGCCATGTGCTGCTGAGGGCTCCAGAAAGCAGGACTTGAGATACTCCAGCTGAGACGCTGACACAACCTCTTTATTTACTCTGACGACTGACACTTTTACTTTGGCTGATTGATCATCAGTTGGTACCAGGACAGTGCTGAAGTACCTGGAATAACAACACTTTAATCAGCAATAATCTCTTGTGATGTGTTTCCACTTTGGGGATCGAGAGTGGTGTAGCAGTATTATATTGTACTTCCCTCTTACCTCTGAGGTCTCGGGGGTTTGTTTCATTACTAGCTATCACACTTGCATATTGTTTTTAGGTCTCCACCTTTGACTTGATAGTTTATATTCTCTGGGTACTCCAGTTTTCCTCCCTTAATTATAAAATTACAAGACCTCACACAAATTCTAATTCAATCTGTGAGTTAATGTAGCTGTGCCCTGACTTAATTAGCCCAGAGGTTGTTTCAGGATATTGATAAAATTTGWGGGTTTTCAAACTGTTGTGGCTTTGCAAGGTGAAGCTGTCAGAGTAGATTGACAATGTTATACCTACCTCAATGGATCCAACTGCCATTCTTTCACAGCAAACATCTGATACCCTTTCAACCATTCATTCTCGGAAACCGCCTCAAACACTGAAGCCCCCTCTGATGCGAGCTGTCGATATCTTCTTTGTTCACATACTACTATTTTGTCAATCTTCTTGCCCTGATGGACAGGAAACTCATGTTCATTTAGCCTAAGAATGTACTGACAAGCAAACTCTACACTAGAAAGGTAGTACCCAGCTTCAGTGAATGCCAGATTTGGATTGCAGTATTTCTTGAGGTAGGCAACAGTTGAGGCAAGTTTTGGGATGTTTGCCTTGAGAACTACGTACACCCAAACATCCATGAACTCATCTGCAACAAATGAATTAACAAACAGTTATCAATATTTTGAAGCCTGCCGTGAAATCCTGGTAAGGGATGGACTATTACATAATGGGGGGATAATGGCGGGGGGGATTGCAGAAATTTATGTTGAATTTTGTTTGTAACAAGCCCTACAAAAAAATTTAAGAGGTTGCCTGATATTTTTTGTTCGTAGGTGAAGTGTTTGCTCAATATTTTTTGGGGGATTTACACAACCCCCTCTTAATTATCTTATGGTCCATCCTCAAAAAGCCCTGGCCTTATTCTCATTAGAGAATATGGTTATTATTATTTGTTTGTCTGTTTGTTTCTCTCTCTCTCTCTCTCTCATATATGTTCAATTCAATATCTTATGAGGTGTCATCAATGTCATAGATGTGAAATACCAGAGATGGATTTATAAATGGGGGGGGGGGGGGGGGGCTTATAACTGAGTATTCATAATGGGGTTTTATGGATGGTAGCAAGATGGATGCAAGAGGATCAATCGGTTTGGGGATAAAGAATAGCCCCTCTAGGGTGCCCCACCCAAGACAGACTCTACCTCTTGGCTGGAGTGTCGACCCACTCAAGAGTTCTAACCTCACCTGCTCCAGGGGGACTTCGATTATCTTGTGCTGCTATCTCATTCAAATTTTCAAACACAAGTTTTGCAGCTCTAACTATCTGGAAAATCTTTCTGGTTGGGATTAAGCACATTGAAGAAGCCTTGAGAGCAGAAATGGCTGCGTAGTAAGGTGACAAACTGATATCTTGGCACTCAGGTTTGATGCCAAACTGTGACTGGCTTAAGAACGCAAGGTTTTTGCCAAACCGTGCTAATTTAGCATCATCTTCTGGTCGGCTGACATGCTCTTGAACCCGGCTGTAGATTTCAGGCATTAGGTGATGCTCTAATTTTGCCTACAAAAAATTTGTTTTACTAAGTTAGTAATATATTATGATTCATATATGATAATAGAATTATGAAAGTTGTCAAAAGTATTGCAGACAGGCATGAGAATGAGACAATTTTAGGTGAAATGATTTTTTTATACATTCTTGACTCATATTGCCTCCCTTGCATGTCTGCCTTAGAAACTTTTGATTAGTCATCATATCTGGAAATCAAACTATTGCTGCAAAGAGGGGAGGGGTGAGGGGAGATGTCAAAATGGGAAAGGTGCTGCAGCCAATTACAATGC